TCATCTACCCCTGCAACCTCACTAGCAAACCTGGTAGGTGCACAAAGGAGAAATACGTCTGGCATGTATAAGTGCAACACAGAACCTTTTTCAGCCCTCATCTCATTTTCTTAAGATAAAACATTATTTCATACACCTGAAAGAAGAAAACAATTGTTTAGGTGCATTAGCCAGTGCCATCACATACAGGACCTTCTGCAGAATTTCATTCAGAAAGGGCTACAAAAACTAGGGGGAGGTATATCAAAAAACACAGCACTTCAACACTCACTGTATTACACAGACCGAGTCCAAGTTTAGTCCTAAGTAACAAGTTCTTTGTAAAACTAGTTGGGTATATTGTACTCTTTTCCATCTGGCTCAAGTTGGCCAGTACCTATCTCAGGGCTACAGAACAGCATAAATATAGCTACCAGAGGCTATCAAAAATAAATACATCTTACAACTGTGGCTGAGGAAGTCACATATCCATTCTGGCACCAACACCATGGGACCAGTTCTGCCCTGCAGAACTCTGATTTCACTTTCATGCATTGGCCATCTTTCTCTATTTCCTGTCTGGTAGCTCCAGGAAACCAGCTATCAGTCACTAACAGAAATAAAATTTTTATGTACAATCAGAAAATAACTTTTTAAAAATACTGACTACCCCTCATGGGGTTTCTTTCACTAGTAACAAACTGACACAAACACGCCTGCTTAGTACTCTCCCAGTGAAAGTGAAGGACTTTACCTGATGCATCGAGTGCACTGTATACACCGAGTCATGATGGTTTTGACTAAGGGGCCAATGTTCTTGTCCTCCACAGCACGTTTGCTCTCTCTAAATCTGCTCCTATCACTGCCAAACATCATTGACTGGTCCTACAACAGACAACAGAATACACACATATCCAGGCTGTTGGTAAGCACAACTTCACCTACGACAAGAGCATTGTACATAAGTCTACATAATTTAATTGGATGTTGTACCTGTAGATCACATTCTCCACCCTGATCACAGATAGGACAGTCCAAGGGGTGATTTGCCAGCAGAAACTCCATTACACCCTCTCTGTTAGGTTCAGAGAATGAAGTTAATGTCAACTTAACATCATTTAGCAGATAGTACAACTAATCAGCCAAAGGAGGCTAACAGAAAGGTACCTTGCTTTCCTGGACTTCTCAGAGTTTGTCAGTATATTCCAGCCCTTCATAACTGGCATGGCACAAGCAGCAACTGGCTGCAATCACCATAAAAAGCAAGCATGAACACAATGTATTTCTTCTCAGCATGGGCACAAACCCCCATCTTCTCCCCCCCAGTTCTAACATAGCTATCTGTTATAAATAAAGAGGTCTGCAAGGAAAAAAAAAATACTCTAAGTGATAAAGTCACTAGAAGCCATATTTCTTAATAATCTGCTATATAAAAAGGTTAAATTAGTTATGATTTATTCAAAATATAAAATTCTACAATTTCCAGTCCCAATTCGAGCAGTTACAGCATTAAGAACGTCAGTTGTAATAGGTACAAGGCAAATCAAACAGCTTCAGCAGACATCTGCAAAATCTCTAGAACTGAAATTCAGAGCATGAATCATTTGCAAGACATTTATTTGCACAAAGCCTGTATACAGTCTTGGAATAAAATTCTTCTCAAGATTACTGAGAGATTAATAAAAATTCCTGCTCTGTAAACAAATCCCTCTCACTTTTCAATCACATCATGACTTCCACCTTTAGCGATAACCCAACATATCCAGAGACACAAAGCTCAAACTATGGAATTGAAGTTGGGGTGAGCTAAAAAATTTTATGTGCGAGTATAAATGTGTAATCCAAGACTGAACTCCAAAAGAATGTGCACAGATTTCTTAGTACTGCTGAAGACAGTGTTTACTCCTGAAATCAACTATTTCACAACAGATATCAATGCATTAAAATATAAACTACTAACTAACTGCAGTATTTACTTAGAATGAACCTGCATGTACTAATCATACAACTAAATTAATACAGTATCTGAGGTTTATTATTTATGTAGTTTCAGCTGAAAATGTGTGGCTGAAGCCTGAACTACAAAGCATAAAATGCATCTAACAGCAAACACACAGCTATCAAATGCTTATGTCCAAGAGAATGACAACAATTACTTAGAAGATTTAAACTAGGCCCAAGCACAGCAAAAAATTCCTATTGAATTCTATATTGCATATTCTATATTGCAATTCCTATGAAACACAAACAATACCTTTGGAGCTTTCTCTATTTCCACAAGACACATCCTACAGTTTCCAGCAACAGAGAGACGATCATGGTAACAAAAACGAGGAATCTGAACTCCAGCCTTTTCACAGGCCTATCAAAAAATAAGAAACAAAGGAAAATTAAATCTTAGACTTTTCAGTTTCACCTCAGAAGACGCTATGCAGCTTTTCAAAGAGTAACACTGCCAGTGCTCAAGAACAGAGTGCACTTGACATTTCATCTTAAGAAGTGACCATAAATAAAAATTTGTGACAAAGCAAAGAAGAGTCAGGATATCAATTACAAATACATTTTTTTCAAATCTTTGTAAGTGATTGAGGAAATGAAAACTGACCTCCATTTCACTCTTTCCTCCAATAACAGAGAGAATTCTCTGCAACAGAGCACTAGCAATACAAATAACGTTTTTAAGAACACATACACTCTTTACAGAAAAGTGGATCAAAATAAAAATTGAAAAACATAAAAAGAGCACGACAAGCATAATGATTCCTGATAATCCAACACAGATACTCTGTGTAAAGGTACTCCAGCACAGTCAATCTTCAACTTCAACAGACCCCAAACTCAAAGACAACATGACAGAAGAGACAGGAGGACAGAGCCAACAGATTTCCAGAGACCAGATGAAGACAGCCTTTCCTGCATAAAACCCCCACAGCTAATGGGATCTATGCTACAGCATTAAAGCTATGCCTGCCAGAAGAAATACTGCCATGTCGGGTATTTTAATGTTCTAACATATTATACCACATGTAATGGCTTCTAAAAAAAACTTTACTTGAAATTTTAGCCTGAAAAGTAACAATGCTCAGTACAGGCTGGGAGATCCAGGTTCCCCTTCTTCTCACACCAAGAATAATTAAAGAAGCTAAGGATGACCACCCTGAATTCTAACAACTAATAACTAAAAGAAGACAATCCCTCATTTACCCAAGACACACTGTAATAAGATACAAAATGTTCTAAAAGACTACAAGGTAACGTAGTGTTCAGAGACAGAAGTTCAACCAGAATTTATTCAAGTCTGTTACTGCATTGAATAAAGTTTTGCAGCTGGGACTGATGCTGCATGCATCGTCTTTCAAACAACCACGGCATATTTTTCTTTTTCAAACACTGAATTCCTCCAAGGATTCCTGTCACTTGAAATTGATCACAGTCAGTCAAAATACCCCTAAAGAATTGCAGGAAACAATGTAAAGGCAGGTGGCTTTTTGCTGTATGGAACAGAACATGCTGCCAAGAAGTGAGATGGGAAGTCCCAGAAAACTGAGAATGCCATTCCCCACACCTGCAGGACAGTGGTTCCGGGGTTCACCAATACAGGATGGCCATCCACAAACACCTCTATTTGGTTGCTGGCTGCTGTTGCAGTTGTACGCCCTGAAGGACATGTAAAGAGAAAACAAAAACAACTTTCACATACTGCTAGATGAAAACCATCAGCCCCCCACTCCTGATTTTCTTTATAAAGTGCTGATAGAATCCCAATTCTACCAACAGTGCAACACAGAATCCCTTAGCCTGCAAAACGAGTATGCATATGTGTCCTTCAATAAACGAACTGCACATACATTTATCACCAGAGACCCAGATATAAACTACAGACACTTACCACATACTCTGGAGGACTGGGTGACCCCAGCTAAGGTCCTGGGGACAGCAAACAGTCGAAGCATGGTGCTTTGGTAAGAGAGAAAACAGCACTGTTGTTATCAGTTCAAATGTTTGCTGGCGAGTTTTAAAGCGGCAGAGTAAAAGCTTCTACACCAGCAGCAAAGCAGCACGTATGCACTCCTGTATGTACACCCATGGGACAGCGAGTTACCTCCTCCAAACGCAAGATACCATCCTACCAATCTACAGTCACACACAGGGATGGCACTGAGCGGCCTCTCCGCCTGCCGCGGAGCGCCGGCCCCGGCCCCGCTCCCCCCGGGCCGGACGGGGCAGTTCGGCGGCGGCGGGCGCAGCGATGCCCTACCCGGGGCCGAGGGCACGGCGGGCGACAGCGCTACCCGGCGCGGGGGTCACCTTGGAGGCGCCGCCGCCCGCCGGGCAGCCCCCAGCCCGCCGCCCGGCCCGTCAAGGACACCGGGAGCGGGGCAGGCGCCCGGAGCAGCGGCAGCCGCGCCCAGCGAGCCCCGCCGCGGCACCGCCGTTACCTGGCGCGGGACGGCTGCGCTCCGCCTCGGCCTCTGTGGCGGCGGCCTCGGGCCTTTCCGCCGCTGACCTCAGCCTCCTTCGGCTATCTCCGGAGCCTTCTTCGGCTATCTCCGTACAGGGCAGTCCGCGCTCGGCAATCTCCGGAGCGAGCCGCTTCGGGTATTTCCGGCAAGCTACAGGCGAACGATGACGCGCGTAATTTCCGTCCCTAGCCCACAGCCTTTTCGGCCACCGTCACACGCACAGCCCTCCCTCGGCAGTTTCCGTCCCTTTCCGCCGTTTTCTTCGCTCAACTCCGGCAACTTCCGCTTTGCCAGCAGAGCGGGGTGTGGCGACAGTACAATATTACAAAGCCCGTGTGACGCCGCAAACCTTCCTAGGGTTTATAGTCAGCTTCACTCTTATTACTTCGACGCTTTCCCGCCCCTCTGGTGTCCCGTCCGCTGCCCGCCCTGCGCTGCAGCAGTCAATCCTTGAGGAGCTACCTCGCGGCTCGCTCCCGCGGAAGAATACAGCTGCGTACAGTGCCGCGGAGGGATACCGGCGCTATAAAAGGCCGGCGCAGGCGCGCCGAGGCCCTTTCCCGCGGCGGTGGCGGTCGGGGCGGGCGCAGCGTGTGGGCCGCGCGCCGCCGCCATGGGCTTCGGGGACCTGAAGTCCGCCGCGGGCCTCCGCGTCCTCAATGACTTCCTGGCTGATAAGAGCTACATCGAGGGGTGAGAGGCGGCGGGGGGGTGCGGGGAGCGTGAGTTGGGCCTGGCGGAGCCCAGCGGTGGGGACGCGGGAGGGCCCCGAGTCACCCCGGCCGCTGCACGGGCGGCGCTGCTCGGCGGCCGCCGCTCCACGTGTTCCTGCATTCCTCCAGCAAAGGAGGTAATTTGGCTCGTTCTCCGCAGGTACGTCCCTTCGCAGGCTGACATAGCAGTCTTCGAAGCGATCGCTGCTCCTCCGCCTGCAGAATTGTTCCATGCTCTCCGGTGGTACAATCACATTAAGTCGTATGAAAAGCAAAAGGCAAGGTATGGTAAAACTCCGAAGGTGCAATATCTCCCCGACCTAGCCTACAAATTGTTGCACTTGTTTCTTCGAGTTTGAGCAAAACTGGTTTCCATTGGCACCACGTGGCATTTTCTGTTGTTGGAACATATACAGCTCCTGAAACAGAGCAAACCTCTTTTGTCAATACGGAGGGCAAAATTAATGATTTGCAGTACCAAAGGACATGGAAAGAACAGGAGAGATGAAAGGAAATAGTATCTCTTTTGTCTTTTAGTGGTTTTATATGCTCATGAAATGTGCTGTATTGACATCCGTGGAGACTGCAGGCCTCTGAAAAGGTACAGCACAGGTAGGGTCAGTACTGCTACCCTGCTCCCTCTGAGCCTCAGTCCTCTTTAAAGGAAACACTTCTAATGAGTGTTTCAATCTCCAGTAGTTTCTGAAGCTTTTGTAATGCAAAAGGGAACTGAGTTTTTGAAGTGGTTTCACAAAGTATCTGGAAGCTGCTTAGGGTTCCTGAAATCAAAAGCCAGTTTTGTGGCTTTAGTAACAGCCGTGCACATTAGCAATGCAATTATGAGCTTATTGTAAGATAACAGGACTATAGGAGCAGCAAGAGAAGGTAAATTCAGGGAGTTCTGGGCCCTTGTCCTGTTAAGAGCAAGAGTTTAGGGTAAAGTGTTCACTGAAACATAGGAAAATAGCAGTTACCGTGCAGTAACCGTGTGTTTTCAGTGACTTAATGGGTTTTAAACAAGTGAAAGTGGTTCTAGGGAAGCATGAACAAGAAGTTGATAATTTTTCCTAGACAGAATATAGTGCAGATAAAGGATTCCAATAAGAAAGCTTTTCCTGTCCATTTACTTAGTTGGGCAGCATCATACCAGCTTTGATGAGCTACAGCAAATCCCATATTCACAGGTTATTCAGCTGGCATGTCAGGAACATTGAGGGCTGTCTTTCATGAGGTTCTGATTTCAAGTAGTAGAATTGGATTTTTACTCTTTTTAACATAAGTTTTTCATTATAAATGCATTTGTAGGTGCATTGATAAACTGGCAGTGATTGCATTGACGTTTAAGGAGGTTCCTAATACCTGCATTTTTCTTTCAGCTTGCCAGGAGTAAAGAAGGCTTTGGGAAAATATGGTCCTGCTGATGTTGAGGACACAACAGGTGCAGCCACAGACAGCAAAGATGATGATGACATTGACCTTTTTGGATCTGATGATGAGGAGGTACTTGTGACCTCTTTCTATTTTTATTATTGCTTATTGTTTTTTAGAAATAACCATATGTATGCAGAGTTTCACCTTGATCTAGTTGAAGTTACTTATATTTCTGACATTGCAATTCTCAAGTGTAGCTATCTTTGCAGAATAGGAAAGCTTGGAAGGTAAAAACTCCAAAGTTAGAAAATAATGGGCTGGAATGGGGTGAACTGTCCCAACTTTGACTGGTTACATGATGAGTAAAACAAAAAATCACCATCTTTCGGCTGACAGGTGTGATGATTTGTTTTTATCTGAGTAGATGCCAGTCAGTTTAGTAGTGCTTTGGAGATGTGGGGGTTTAGTGCTTTTCTGTAACTGGGAATTTCTCTTTCAGGAAAGTGAAGAAGCAAAGAAACTGAGGGAAGAGCGTCTGGCCCAGTACGAATCAAAGAAGTCCAAAAGTATGTGTGCTGAGAGCTTTCTCATCTTTACACTTGACACAATTTTCATGCATTTGGACAGGATGGCTAGAACGACTAATTAATTGTAATAATAGATCAGCTTGACTGGAATGAGACAGGAGTAATTAGCTTCACTTGAGTTGCCAGTGAGCTCAGCCTTCCCATAGCAAATAGGAATGTTAACATGCTTTTTGTTCTGGTTCATACACTCCTGCTTGTTCTTTCCAGAGACTGGCCTTTCTACACAGATGGAGATAAAAGTTTAGAGAAACTGCTGCAGTGCACAAGTTACTCCACAGCTACTGGTCTGGAACTGTTCAGAACTGTAGCAGTTGCAGTATTCCCTCTGTGGAAAATAAACTGTTACACAGCATTAGGCTCCTTCTCAGATGTTCTGAGAAGGACTTCCTATGTAACAAACACTGTAATCTAATTAAATCTGTGTATGCATAATGCATCTGCATATTGAACCTTGGGGTGTAATAGCTGCACTAGTTCAGAAATGTACACTGGTTCCAGAGGCTGTCACAGCGATGTGAGCAGGTTCTTGTTCATGAAACTGGCCAAGTTGCTCTTGTAAAACCAGTTTGTAAGTATATTCATGAGGTTTTGGGAGATGCCTATCTTTTCATGGTGATTTTCTTCCCCCAGAACCAGCTGTTGTTGCCAAGTCATCAATCTTGCTTGATGTGAAGCCTTGGGATGATGAGACAGACATGGCCAAATTAGAGGAGTGTGTTCGAAGCATTCAAGCAGATGGCTTGGTCTGGGGGTCTTGTAAGTATGGGGGAATTTCAGAGCAGGGAGAGGGAGAGTGCAGGCCCTTGGGATAGTTAGTATATGAGTAGTGGGACTTGTGGTCACTGCTGATCTATGAAATGGAGGTAGCTGCAATGGGGGAGCTGCCGTACTTCAGTGGTCAGAAAAGGTGTATTAGTGCAGTGGCTGGTTAAGATTCAAACACAGGTTTTAAAAGCTATAGGACTTAAGCTCTGCTCTCCTGCATCTCCCTGTACAATTCCTGGTGCAGCAAACAAACACCTCTACCCACCCACATCACTAGTTTGGGGAAGGGGTGGAGGTCCACAGAAAGCAGCTTTTTCAATCAGTTGTAATGAATGCTGGGTTCTTAATTAGATGGTCCATAATGTGGACCAAAGGCTGTTTTCATATGCTTTGGTCAGTTCACTCTTAAAAGTGCATTTTTAAGAGATTCCACCAAAAAAGGAGTACTAAATTTTTTTGTTTGTTCGTTTTGCAGCCAAGCTGGTACCTGTTGGCTATGGTATCAAAAAGCTTCAGATTCAGTGTGTTGTTGAAGATGATAAAGTTGGAACAGATATGCTGGAAGAGAGAATAACAGCTTTTGAAGATTATGTACAATCAATGGATGTAGCTGCTTTCAATAAGATTTAAGTCTTGATATACCTAGAATAAATGTTGTTGCAAAAAATGTGCAGTGTCTGTTCTTGTTTCAGAATCTTAGAGTAATCCAGCTCACAAATGTAAGGTTTTCTTAATGGGTAAAGTAGAAGCTGAAACTGAATTTCAGGATTGTTCTGACACCTCACTGTAGTACCCAGGAGCATGAGCAGAACATCACTTCAGAGTTAAGATTACCATGGCTTTAAAATACTGGAATGCTCTTTCCTCCATCTGTGGAGGAAATTGCTTCTTTGGAAATGTCTGGAAGGCATCCCTCTGTGGGCAGGGATGGTTTTAAGGGAAAGGAGCAGGGCTCAGTCAAAGTGCATGTTTTAGTGGGTAAACAGTATAAATTCCTTTTGTTTAGTAAGGGTGGTGACTAACCAAATACACCACAGCCTTTGACAGCTAAAACTCCAGCGAGAGAGGGGATGAAACTTAAGTTCAGAGACTTTCAGTGCTCTAGAGATAGGCCTGACACTTCCGTGATGCCTTCTCACCTGTTCTACAATTCTGGACCTTTTTTCCCCTCTGAGGCTTGGAAACGTTTGCAGTGGAATTGCGTCGAGTTTGTGTGTTAATGAGCGCAGCAAACGCTGCTGCTGCTGCGGAGCCGCTGCCGTGCGGGGCGCGGGCGGTGCCTCCCGGGGGCGCTGCGAGCCCGGCAGTGCCCTGGGCACAGAACCGGAGTTGGACACGGGCTGCAGGCTCTGGCTGGCCTACCCCATCAACTTGACTTTAACAAGAAAAAATAGCTGGCAATGCAAACACATTAAAGGATATAAAAAGCAGTGAAATTAGCGGCAGTTTGAGCTGTTTGCTCAGCTCCAGATTGGTTTCTAGATTGATTTTGACATTTCTTTTAGCGATTGAAGAACCAGCAGGAATAAATCCCAAAAACTGTCTATAGGAATGATACAAATGTAGAAGCTGTCAAAGTTGTGAAGCTTCTAAACAAATTCATAATTCTATGCCTTACATTGGACTGGCAGGATTTATTGTGACCATGACATGGAATCCTTTTATTTGCCACATTGGTCACTCGGAGATGAAGATGCCCAGTGTCAGAGTCTGACAGCTGCATCTTAAGTAACTCTTTTTGTTGTTTTTTCACAGAGCATCTGTGTGGTTATCTGGCACAGCAGGTCCTCTTTCTCCTTGTTTAAAGGTCTGCCAACTTCAGATTATGTAAGGGCTTTGTTTATAATTTGTTTCAGAAAAAAAAAATCTGCATGCTAGAGGCTTAAAGCCTGGTTAAAGATCTGAAAGTGAGTATTGTTATAGGCTCACTTGCCACCTTCCATAAACCTAATTCCTGAACAGTACCCTTTTTGTGGCAATTCTCTAGCTGTTGCTTCTGCTAAATCATGTAGCTTAGTTTTACCAATTCTGTCATGGTGCTGTTAAATGTAACAAATTGCCAAGCACCATATCAGGCAAGCAAGTTATTAAAAATTCTGCCTCAAAAATACAGGTTTTATTATCTTGGCCATCACTTTCTCTGACCTCCCATTTAATGTGCTGCTTACCTTGATACTCTTTTCTTGGCTTTCATATTAAAGCCCTAAGTGGATGAAATGGTTGGATTTTTAAATGGTAACTTTGTTAAAATGCAACACTGAGTCATCTATGTGACCTGCCAGACTGGATTTTCGTGTGTTAAATTTATGCTAAGCATACACATACAAACTCTTTGGTTCTTGAGATTTCTTGTGTGTGTTGAATTTTGGCAGGGTTTTTTTTTTTTTAAATCCTGATATTAAAAAGAAATTTGCACAGAAACAAAAGAAACAAAAAACCCTGGGGAGCACAGTGAAAAAATAGGTATGTGGGCAAGATTATTCTGCTCAATCCACACATATTTGTGTTAGGTGTTTTTAGGTGGTGTTTGGGTATGTGCTGGTATATTACTGTGTCATTTTGTCTGTGAAAAATCAGCACCCTGGAATAAATAAGGAAAGTGTCCCAAGTGCACCCCGTAGCAGAGGGATCAGGAGAAAATTCCGTAACTTCAATATGTCCTATACGGGAATACTGGGAAAACAGTTTGAGCAAAACTAATCTACATAAAAACCTTCAGAAACACAAACTGTCCAGAAAGAAGATAAAAGTAACTAGAACCTGTCCATTATGAAATGTGTCAATAGCTATTTCTGTAGTATCTCTCTGCATGATGACACAGGTTCCTTTCCTTTTTTGGCCCTTTTTTTCCATTGTGGTGAGTCGAATGAGCATTCCTCAGTCCAAGCAGCATAGAATTGTTGGCATTGTTGTGGAGACTCTTTGGAAACAGAAACAGAGCATTATCTGTTTTGTGTAGATATCTTGCATTACTCTTTAAGAAATGACTTAGATAATTCTGTAACTGATCTTGGTGTGAACGGTAGCAGTTACATTGCACAATTGTTAATCCACCTAATGCCATAGATCAAGGCTGATTTTGGCTTTTTTCAATTCTATCCTCTCTCTTCCCCCTGTCTGCTTCAGGCCACACTTTCTGATCCTTTATGCAAGATGGGAAATACATGCTCCCCCATTTGAAAATCAGCCTCTGTGGTGTACACAGGAACGTGTGTGCACACAGCTGAAGAAAGCTGACATGAACCTGAAATCCCATAGTAGAAAGGGCCAGTGCTTGATTTCACCTTCCAAAATCTTTGGGAAGGCACTGTTATAAGAAAAGCCAGTCACCACACATTGCTGCTAAGAAAAGTAAATGAACATACTCTTTGGAAAGAAGAAAATTTTATTACTTCACTTGGACCACAGCCAGGAGAGTACATCATTCTTAGAAAGATGTCAGGGAACATGTGAAGAAAAACTGCAAAATGTTTGATTTAGGCACATACAGCAGCACGGTGCCAAAATATTATGATGAGCAACTATGTACCAGGCAGCAAATGACTCAAAGGAAGAATGCTGCTTACCAGCTTTTCAACCCAAAGGGGAATACACTGAAATTCCACTGATCCTGCCTGACTCTCAGACTCTGGAACCAGAGCCCAAAGAAATAGTTACAGACCACAGTCAGGCTGTTTCTATTTGTGCAGCTACAAATATTGGATGTGCTCATGCATATATATATTTTTTATACAAAAGCAAATCTATTTACATATAAGGCCTCAATTATAGCATAAATGCTACTGCATTGGCAGGCCATATAAACTAGGTAAATTATCTGAAAGGTAGTTTTATTCTATATGCCTAGGCCAATAACTAGCAAAAAACAGTTCAAATTTATCCAAAGCTCTATGCTTTTGCTTTCAGTGGAGTTTTGTCCCACATTCAACTGTTTAATTAAGTGGTATTGCATCAGAAATTGGTTCACTCCACATAGCATATATATATTTGCATTGGTGCATGTGTGACTCTGCAGCAACCAACACATTGGAACAGAATACAGCATAACTGGGACTTCATCTTTCTTATGGGAGTGGACTCCATTTCCTGGATGAACTGTCTTGCCTCTTATTTAGAAAAGAAGTCTGAATTTGGCAATAGACTTGTAAAAGAATACTGATGAATTCACTCCACCCTTTTTTTAAGCTTGACATTAAGGGATGGTTGCGGGAAAAAGCTGTGAAGGAAGGCATGTTGTGGCAGTTTTGTGTTCCCCTTGGGATGCCCTTTGCAGCTGCAGTGTGCCTGGAACCCTGGGCTTTGTGGTTTTCAAAACCCTAACCCTAACCAAACAAAATGTTATATTATTTCTTTACCTTTGCTTGAAAGAGCAATAAAGAAGAATCAGTAGTTGTAAACCTATGTAGATTTAAACATAGAAGAAGAAGTGTTGCACAGAACCTGTAGGAAATATTTTCACTAATGCTTTGCACATTTCAAATAAGCCTAATACCTATATGAAACATCAGCTCAGTATTTTGCACCCAGCTGGTGCTCAATATACAGTAAAGTGACCCAAACACAGGGTCTCCTTTCTTAGTTTTGAGTATAAGTTAAAGAGCACTGAAGAAGACAGGTTTTATTTCCATATTTTTCTTTTTTGACAATAGAAGGCAGCAATTCAGGGTTCTCCATCTTGGGATTCTTCTCCAGGTGCAGAGTGGAGCCACTGATAGCTTCATTTAGGTGGGATGTAGCCAGGGGATTCCTCCTTGGGGCAGTAGCAGGCAATCAGGAGACTCATGACCCAGAGATGTACAGCCACAGCCTCTTCCATGAGAATGCCTCCATTAAGAGTTGTATCAGCAATGGCAAGGAGGGATATTTTTATTATGTGTTCTTTTGATATCACTGAGGTATGGAACCACAGCAAACCAACAGGATCACAACAACAGCCCACAGCAAAAAGCCCATTTAGAGTAATTCCACCTATGCTGATAACTTTCAGTTCAGGCTGTATGTGCATTGCAAGGGCACACATCCAAACCACGTATCCCTTAAAAAACCTTTCCATTAAAGCAGCAAGTGCAATTAAGCCAGCTGTTTACAGAAAACTGTCTATGCAAAGATACACATCTGACTGGCAGATGTGAAGGCAAGAAGACCTGCAAATCTCCAGTCAGCTCCCTTGGAGCAGTCAGTGGGCAGTTTCACAGCAGTGCACGGGCGCGTTGTCTGAGCTCCAGAGCTGCTCGCTGACCGTGCCCGAGCGGCTCACCTCCCACAGGGCCAGCTTCAGCACCTCAGACACCGTGCTCTTCACCTGGGCTTGGAACTTTTTGCTAATCAGAACGTAGAGGATTGGGTTGAGGCAACTGTTGATGAAACCAAGGCCAGTGGAGAGGGGAATGCCATCCTGCAGTAAGTCATGCAGGTTTTCATCATGGTGAGCAGACAGCTCCACAATGCTGAATATATGATATGGCGTCCAGCAGACAAAAAAAGCTACAACTACAGCAGTGATGGTCCAGAAAAGCCTGCTAGAAGTCAATACAGTTCTCCTCTTCACTTTGACAATCAGCAGTGAGTAGCAAATAACCATGGTCACTAAAGGAAAGAGGTAACCAAATGCAAGCCTCACCCAAATGAGAATGTGATGTGTCAGCAAAATAAGTTCTTTGTCATGCACATGAAAATTGTTGTAGCAAATGGTGACATTGTTGAGAACTGTAGCTGTGTCTCTAAAGTATAAGGCAGGGCCACCAATAATTGCTGCTGACATCCAAATGACCCCGCTCAGAAGGAGGGTGTTCTTTACAGTCCTGTATTTGTAGGAAAAGACGGGGTGGACCAGGCGGATGTAGCGGTCAAGGCTGATGAATGTCAGGAAGAAAACACTGGCAAACATATTAAGTAGTGCAATGAATGAGTTCATTTTGCAGAGCCACTTCCCAAAAGGCCAGTGGAAGCCCATTGCCACGTATGTAATATAGAGGGGCAGGAAGAGAACAAAAATGAAATCTGCAATGGCCAGATTCAGGAACCAGAGTGTGGAAACAGATTTATCCCACTTAAAGCCCATAAACCAGATGACAATGGCATTACCTGGCACTCCCAGCAGAAATGCCACACTGTAAAAGAAAAGGGAAATAATATGGGCAATGCTGAGGGAGGACTGGGGTGACTCATCTTCCTCAGACAGATCGTAGAAATAAGAGTAGTTCTCAAAATCTTCAAATGTCATGTTGCAGAGTGGCTTTCTGGAGAAGAAAAGAAATGAAATGGTCAAAGGAGAAATGCTTTACTGCACTGTAAATAGTAAACTGCAATTCTTTCAAGTTTTTGATCATAAACCAAAAACATTGCCTTAGTTTGGCAAATCTGTCACCTTTATCTGTCAGTTGCTTGCACAAAACTCCTGAAGAAATTTGGTCACAGGCATTTCAAGAAATGTTCAAATCAAAACAGAACTTGAAATCTTCAATAACTGTTTTCCTTACATTAATTTCTTAACAGACAGCGCTGAGCATAGTATCACTGATAAATTTCTAGGAGACCAGACACAAAGTTTTATTGAAGTATGATTGTGCTATTCTTTTCTGGTCAGGTTTTGTACTTTACTGCTCTGTTCCTGTGTGAAGCAAGTTTTATGGATTATATCTGTCTAAAATCAGAGGAGCATTCGACATCTATATAGGAAAAAAATCACTTAAAATGCCAGGACCATCTTCTGTAAAATTTCACCCACCACCCTGCCTCAAATTATAGTTAACAAAATGACAGACAGCGATTTCTCCAGCAACTAAATGTTCATGGGTTTATGACTTTCAGGCCCATTTAACATCTTGGATTTCCTTAATACAGCAGAGAATGTAGAGAAAGAAATATATAGAACATATTGCAGGGATAATACACACTACGGTGTTCTTCCACTGGTGAGCTGAGAAACAGGTAATACATGAAAGAAAGTAAAGCTTCCCATGAACAAAAAACACACTGTAAGAGCTATAAATAAAAACACTTCTGTGTCCTTTTTTTTTTTTTTAAGACAGAATTACAGAATTTTCTCAGTTTTCTTCTCTTGCAAAAGCTTCTGTAACTTGCAAGTACAACATGATTTTTCTCATAGAAATTCTTTCTGTGAGTAGGAGGGAAGGTGAGGGGGAGGGAAAATGGAATATAAACCAAAACAGAAGGGAAAAAAGAAATTAATAGGAAAACAGACTGGAAACAGAGTTTGAACAACAGAAAGAAAAACAGTCAGAAGTTATTTCACAGTATTATTTCACAGTGTTAGTTTGCAGTATAGACAAAGCTCCAGCACATCACAGGTAGCCACAGTCAGACAGAAGTCTCTGCAATGATCAAAACAATTTTTCTGCAAAATTCTGTCATCGTTTAAAGCTGAATAGTTTGGCTGGACTCAGCTGCACTGAAGACCTGTGCCTGAGAGCAGTCAATTAGCTGTACTACGATTTATCTTACTGCTGAATTTCTGAGTGCTCTCTCCATCCCTAAACCAAAATTCAGCCCGCGCTTCTGGAACTCAGCCCTGCATTCCTGTAATGCCATGAATTACAGCATGCTAAGGACAACCCGAGAGGGGTCTCCAGAGCGCACTGCCTGCACAACCACATCTCCAAGCTTGTATTCCTGCACTTACCTTTCCTCCAAAAAGTAATTCGCTCAGTTTGAAAGGATTACTCACAGCAGCAGAGCTACGCATGTGCACACGCATTAACAGGATTAGACGTCCCATTTGTAGATGGATAGACAGGGAAGGGAAGCAAAGGTTGTGTAATTTTATATCTCTTGATTAAAAAAATATGTAGTAAGAGTCAGCACAGCCTGTTCTGTCAAGAGGCTATGATAGCATTTGTGATTTACATCAGGCTGAAAGAATGTTATTTGGTTTGCTGTCCTGACAAATGATACTTATTGGGCTGCATTTATGTAATTACATGCCCCTTGGGGGTGGATTCTGCATTAAATACCACCACCACCCATCTGAGTAATTTTTTCAAACAGCTTAACAGCTGCTGAGAGAAGAGTATAAACATGGAGCAGTACCATTAACATCTGGAACATTAGATTTGGACAGTTTCAGAGGACAGTCAGGTTAACAATTGGATTTTTAAGTGGGTTTGCCTACACAAAAAACTGTACCTTCGAATCAGATTTATGCAACTAAACAAAAAAATTTCCTGCTGTAATGACAATGATAAACATTTGCCTACTGCCCAACAATGTTAATTTTATATTTAGCATTTTAAAGATGATGTATCACAGGAGAAAAAACACATACCCAAATAAATGCCAAATATTTCCCAAACCTCCTGTAGTTTAAAACTCCAATGAAATAGCACACCTTTAGAATGCAATTATTTTTCCAGGCTTGTATTTTTCCTCCTCTTTAACTCTAGTCTTCAGTGCAGGGAGTCTTCTTTAGCAGTGGGAGTAAAAAAGCAGAAGAAACATTGTTTACCACTGCTCCCAGTGCACAGATGCTGAAATTAGACTCTATGGCTAGGGCTCAGAAAAGACTGCCAATTACATTTGCAAAGCCCAGAAACTTTTACTTCTGACATTGAGATAGATGAAGCACTTCTATAGCAGACTCATGGTGTTAAGCCCTGTCCTGAAAAAGATAAGCAGTAGGTGATTGTCAGTGGAGTTATACTGGATTACATCAATGAGGACACAGATTGTTTTCATTAACCATAATTCAGCAGGGATGTTTCTCTGTGGTCCTGAAACACATTATCTCTTAATACATGACTCTGAAATTAATACATTTCCAGAGTCAAAACTGTCTTGCAGTTCAAGTCTAGGTCTTGTGAAGAAATCTAATTGTATTCCTTATTCTGTCACTAATTTCCTGTATAATCTTTGACAAATGGCTTACTTTCCAAGCTGGACAAATTCTCATCAATGTGTTTGCAAACTGAGGCTCAGTAGAGAAAACAATACTTTCAGACAGCAGTTTCTGCTTGGCTTTAAGGCAACTGCTAGAAAGGGTAAGGGAGGTTTGGTGGAGTTCACTGGCTCAGTGTCTGCCGGTCTGGGGAGCCAGTGCATGGAAAACATTTTTCAATAAACAGGAAAGCGTGGTTAGGGGCCTGCCAATAAGCATTGGGAGCAGCCACAGGTTACAGAACAGTGTTCTATTGCATATGGATTAATATAACCGAATTTAGATTTCATCCTGTCCTTTTTTTAAAGTTTTATTTTAAATAGTAAACACCCTGTGTAAAGTGTACGCTCCACAGTTGTTTGACGAGTCCATTCCTGTTTGCTGAGCCACAAGCAGCTCTGAAAACTGAGCCTCCTTGATTCACTTGCTTAATTATGAAAACAGTTGACCAGGAGGTTTCATTTCCTGTCCTATTCTGTAAAACAGAAGTTAATTTCTAAATGACAGGATGGCTCTTGGCACTTTTAGATCTTAGGAGAGAAAGCAGAGTTACTAAGAAATACAGATAATCAGGAAATATTTCTAAAATATAAAGCCACAGAACTGCTGGGAAGAGACTTCATCAAGTGTTGCATGAACAGTCTTTCTCTGAAATTCAGCAGGGAATTACAGACTTGGATCTCAGTTGACATATTCACAGCTTTCTACAAAAAGTACCTAGAGTTCGTGTCCTCTGCCACTATTATAGCTAAGCCATAATGACAACTTGGACAAATGATTGGATCCGCCTAAAAATAGAACAGCTCTTGTCACACTAAGAATGGCCTTAGAGTTATGACATGGGACAGTACTTTGGAACCTATCCATGGCTACGCCACAAGCATCCTGTTTGACCCCTCCACACCTCAGCCCTGAGGTCAGTGCAAAGGCTTTGGAATTAAATTACATTGGGCTTTCAGTCTAAAATAGAAGAAAACAAACAAAAAAGTTGCAATTTCCATCCACTTCACTTGAAGCAAAGTCCTCCTGGGGGTTCAAAGTTCCCTGGGCACCACACAAGTTAGGACTTAACTGAATTACACTAGCAGTCTTTACCACAAATTCAAGCTCAGCCCACACAACCTCTCTCTCTCACACATTTGGTCCTCATTACTTTTGAATTTTACAGAAAGGTCAAAGGGAAGAGTTTTTTCATTGTCCATGTTAGTTAAAAGTTAACACAAATATTTGAGTGGTAGCCCCCAAATCTATTTTTCAGTGTGACAAACAGTGTTAGAGCCTTTGGCCAGCTGTATTGGTTTCAGAGGTCACAGTAATGGGTCCTGACTTAGTAGAAAATTATGGTTTGGAGGGTTGGCTGTCTCAACAGTTCAGTTCATAGAGGGAAGACATCACACAAACCCTCCTATCAATGTCTTTTTGAACAATTGTGAGCACATCACATTCCATTGTGTCATCTGTGGCTAAAGGAAAGCTTATTTGATTGCATCATTTCAACTTCTGTCATTTGCAAGTGTCAAAAGCTGGAGAACAACTGGTTTCACAAAAGGTCACTTGGAGCCTGCTTGTCATATTGTGGCAGCAAGTTTATCCAGATATTGAATTCAGTTGCGAGCCCTCATAATTTTTTCTTGGAACTTTTGAGGTGACAAATTTTGAATTTATCTAGCTTCAAAAACATAAACATGAAATCCACCTGGTAGTTTATGTGTAAAGTTCAAAACTCAGAAGGCTGAGCAAATTCATGAGAGGTACACACATGTATTTCTGTCAAACATTTTACAAAGACATAGGATAGATCTGAAAACACACAAGGAATACTGATGAAATTACAGACTGCCATAGATTCACATTTCTCCCTCAAAAGGACAAAGCCAAGGTAACACTTGCCTTTATGCAGAAACATTCCTATAGCAGGTGCCTGATACATTCATACTACAAAAACAAATCATAGCTGTGCTACAGAGTAAGCCTAAAGTTGGCCCTGCCGACAAAGCCACTAGGTAAGGAGCATTTTAAGCTGGTATACACAAAAGCAGAATCAAGGCTTGTGTCTATGTTTTCTCTTTTACAGGCACATACACAAACAATTGTCTTTTGACTATCCTTTTAGTGGTGATTAGATATATGGTAACCTAATTACTTCATATGTCATCCTGAACTCAAAAATGGGTAACAACAGATATGACATGTGACTGGAAATGTTTTTGAGCCTCAATATAGATGTATTTGTTCTAGCAGATAAGGAAGGAATGCAAATAACAATCATTCTCCATTATGTCTCTCAGCAAAGCAGTGTTGGAAATGTATTTGCAATGTACTAGCTAGACATGTCCTAGAACTTAG